AGAATAATTATATATACGTTGAAGCTTGTGTCATGGGGACATTTTCAATCTTTCTAATATTTTAGAAGACAGCTTTGATAATAGCTTTTATCTACCCAAATCATTCAGTAGTATATATATGCTACAGTTAAAATATACAGTGTGAATGATGTCAGTTAGACTGTATGACATTTATATTGCAACATATATATTTTTAGATGAAACTTCACTTGAATTTGGTGGAATAATCTTCTCCTTGCTCCAGAACTCGACCGTAAAAATACAATATGGAACGTGTTCAACTATAATGGACCTCTCACCAGTAACTCCTACAGAAAACGCAACACGAACTGGCACTCGTTCCATATACGAGTAAGTTTCACTTTAATTGTACACATTCTTTTTATAACTTCACTGAATAGTATTCAACAAAACTTAAGCTTGGTCAACGGTTTATTATTTGAATAATCTAAGTAATGTAACGTAACTTGTTTAATAACTTCAAGTGCTCGTTGATTTGAGTCGTACTTTCTGTTTTGAGGAGTAACATTACCTACTAGTCAACTGCAAAATCAAAACAGGTTAAACACTGTTCTAGTTTGATAATCAGCGGTTGACATTTGAATCTAACTGTTTACTTGACAATGAAATGAGCATGGATGATAATTTATTGATAACATGTTATATGATATGCGATATATTATTGTCATTTTCAATTCTTCTTCTTCTTACTATTATTATTATTATTATTATGTACTAAACAAAGTGATATAGAATTATCATTAACTAAAATGCTGAAGTTTTACGGTTGCATCATCAGCATAGTTGTTCAACTTGGGAGCTTTATGAAACAGTTGAACTTAGTTATTCACTGTCCAAATTCATCATAATTATAATCGATTTCAGCACGATAATAATACAATAATTGAACACTGAATTCTAACTAAATTCATGTTCTCCAGTCCTTAATGTTGATCAAATCTAATCATTAAAGTTGCAATGTAGTTGGTAGTTTAAGTGACTGAACATCGTGGTGCAGCATATTTGGTGTAATATAGTTGGAGAAGATGGGGGGGTAAGCCATCTATTTGGGTTTTGTTTTACGTGCGAACCTGACACACATGTACATCAGTCCAAATTACCGAGCCACCCAAACACAACTAGGTAAAATTATCAGAAATACTCAAACAATGTGGTCATCAGCAAGAGTATGAAAAAGATGGCTAATATAATTAAGGAAGGGAGAAATTGTTTACCGAATAAAACTTGTTAAATAATTTTAAAAATTAGGATATATGGATGGATTATCAGAAACTAGATCTACATCACAGGGATCAATACTTTCCGATGTCATCCACCATCTCAAATCACTGGTTGCCGTTATTGGGTAGACCCACACCAAGTATTCCGCATCTACCAACATATGTCATGCCAATATTCAGTGACTTCATGGGCCCGTTAGCTCGCCGCTGGCCTATTCCTACGCCAGACAACAATCAGTATGGAGGTATGCGATGCTTTAGTGTATCCCAGCCTCCTCAGTTGTGCACGATTTTCATTTAATTTCATGGGTTTGTTGCTCTCTGCATCTAGTCTTGACCCACTCCTGTAGTCACAGTTTATCATTGGCTCTATTTAAACTTTATGTCAAAGCCAGTCACTAATAAACAAAAGATTCCTGAAAATTAAAAATTTCAACTCATTTTTGTATTGCTTTTTTGAATCTTCCCACTGACGTTGAGGACTGCAATTTATCAGTATTTTATCGGCATACGTGGACCCTGTGAAGACTATCTCGATATTGTCTTAAGTCATGAGGATTATAAGCAGAAATAGATGGTGATTATTAGTAGAATTTAGAGCGCGTGTTTCGTTTTATTTGGAGTTCGAGTCAATATCAACTCTGAGACCCAGGTATATCTAGATGACGGGTCTGAACTAGGGCGAAACACCTGTTCTGGATTCTACTTCCAACCACCATCTATCTCTGATTATTAAAAATTTCACTGTAAACGTTTATGTTTATTAACTTGCAATAATCTTCTGCTCTATTTCTTACTTAAAATCATCATTAATTTTCCTTAAGTAATTGTTCGGTAAAGAAGAGGATACCAAGAAGGAAGAAAAATCCTGAATAAACATTTCAAAGTTTATCTCATTTATAAATAAAAAAACTAAAGGCGGGAATGAGAATAAAGAAAAAAAATTGTATACTGATAAATCGTTCAATCAATGAATAAATCTTCAAAGGATGCTTTTTTAAAATACATTTTGATACTTTTGATTTTTAAAAGAAAATATTACATCCTAGTTCAGTTTACGTTTTTTTCAATGAAACATCCTAATGTATAGATTATTAGTTATGAGATTCATTTAGGCAAAGACCTAAGTTCCCATCGCTAAAAGTTATCAGCTTACAAGATTAGGCGAAACCATTGGCCGTATTCACTAGTTTGAATCCGATTTCACAAAACATAAGATTAGTGGTAAACAGTTTTTGATACGTGACTAACACATCAGTAAAGATTCTATATTCAATATATTCAATAATAAAATCTCAGGGATAAATATCTGGAGCATATAACATCTAATATATTATTTATATAAACAGTATTTCAGAAGATTCTCATATGTTGTTAAAAAAAGACCTACATAAGCTAGTGAAGTGTCACTAAGAAGGACAAAAGTGATAATCCGTAATATTTATCTCTTATGGTTGGATGGTGTTCCAAGTTGTATAATCATTTCAAGGTTTTTATGAACTTGTAAGTTAACATGGGATGAAAATAAAGTGTTCAGATGTGCATGCATTAGTTTGGGAAATACAATATTTAATATTGAATCATCTCTTGAACGTTTAAATTCTTAATACAACACTGCCATAATAACATCAAAATCAACAAAATACTGCATTCATCAGTAGAACAGAACTCAATATCTCTGGAAATATTCAAGTTGAACAACTGAACGAACTTTTATTTCCGGACGAGAATCTAAAACTTATATAATGTGACATAGCATTAGATTCTCACAAACTCCAAGTGGTTTGAATAAATTTTATAAATTTTGTGTTGATGCTGTTTCACAGATTCTTCCAGAGATAAAAACAAACTTAATCTTTCATCACTAAGCTGAGTTACATTTTACAATTTCAACCACAGAGCCTGAAAGGTGCATGTTTGATGAAAAAGTTCAAAGAATGCAAGCAATTAGTATACCCAATCGAATAGATAAATTCATGCATGCTGAAATAAGCAAATGTATGTCTCTAATCTCTACGCAGTCGTAAAACTGGAATCATGACAGAAGTCATTTGTAGTTATATGATACAAAAATTCCGTAAATTACGCTGGCCTATTTAAATCATAAGCTTAATTCGATAACATCGATTTGCAATCAGGTTTGAGAATGTGTCAGATAACTGAAGCGGAACTGGAAACCAACAAAACTGTTATTAAATGCTATATTAACTACAGTAACCGTACGGTTTGATAATCTACAGCCTCTTGACAGCGATATTCAGTATATTGAACACTAGGTTGTAAAATGTATACGAGTAACTGAAGTCACTTTTTTAAGAGAGGTTCTATAATTGAACAAGGGTCGTTCAGTAATTAAGGATGGAATGACAGAACTCAGTGTTACTTATACGGTATTACAAACAAATAGGAGCAATCCAACCAACATAGAGATGAGCAGACAAATAGCCTTTAAATATTCTCATTTTGCAGAATCCATTTATTCACAAGTGAAGAAAAAATGCTTCAAAATAAACTGCGTACAGTCGATAATTAACAGCTAGATTCACGATGATCACGATGGTTTATCGGATTAGATCATACTAATCATGCATGGGTTACATAAGAACTGACCATCCTTGTCACACTAATACTGGCACAACTTTAATATTTTGAGGTAAGTCTCATTAGAACGAATACCAAAAATCAGTAAACAAAAAGTCATCAGTAACTCAGAGGTGGGTAATTATGTAAAACAGTACCATGGATTGAAATCCAGTCAAGTATTATGTCTTCCTACAAAGCAAAGTATAGGGTGACGTACCAGCCTCTTAAGGTAAGCCATTTGTCTCTTCCGGCAAACAATACTGTTCTTCAAGGCACACATGTCCGTCATTAGTACGTGTTTTCAGGCGGAAATCGCGACAACCCCTGGGTATTGACGCGCGAGCATCTGACTTGGGACAAGTATACGTTACATGAATACGGGTAACACATAGGTTTTCACTTATGCATCTCGTGATGCACACATAGGTATACTTTTCCCTTGGGATGGTAGATGGTCACTATTTCCTTCAATTGTATTTGCTTCCACTTTCAGGTACCTATGGGTCACATGCATACCACTGGTACCATGAGCTTGCGCTCATGCACTTCATAACATACACAAAGGTACAAGCACTTTTAAGGGAGGGAACGTGGCTACCACTCCCTTCGCTTGCATTTACTACCCATCTCATTTTTGTTTATTTTCAGACCTGCGCTTTTTTTGGTTAAGCCAATTTTTTGTTATGGGGCAGACTACCCTTTATGCTGAGCTCGCTATGCGTACCCTTTACTTACACACATACACAACTACACATGTCGAGACTGATGTAATTCATACCCATACATACATATTCATAGGCCAGGTCTTTACGATTTAGCTAAACAGCTGATATATTTGCAAAATTATTAATATAAACCGATCCTACTTGCAATTCACTCATGAAATCTAGATTTAAAGACTTAATATGAATTAGACAAATTATTTTTTTATAAATGTAGCTCACTCACCTATTTTGTTGTCCTGATAATTTTTAATTTCAAGTAGATAAAATTCAATATTTGAATAGGGTAATCATCATTATGACCCAAAATCTACTCAGTTTGTTTCATTTTCTCAGGAAGAAGAGTAATAAAGTGTAATCAAATGTAGAAAAGTGTTAGAAATAATTAGACTGGTCTTATTTTTACTGATATAAATATTCAAAAATTTAACTATACTTCATCTTAACGCTAGAAATGCCAGCACAATCATTAAAAGTAAATTTCACTGTATTCATCCTGTGGACATTGAGCTTAATTACAGCTGAAACAAACTTCTATACAATACCAATAATAGTTGATAGAATGGGTATGTGAATTGTTCTCTTATCATTTTTGTAATTTCTGTATTTGTATTTGATTGACTTATGTCACTGGTAAACTTAGGAGCAACATTACTAATATTATACATTTAAATGAATTGTTTTTCTCTCAAGAGAGAATAAGATTGTGTATAATACGGAATATACTATTTCATTAGTTGTAAACACTTCAGACAAAGTGTTTGTTATGGAAAAATTTAAAAACCAACTATAAATTTTTTAAGGTACCCAACAGGCACATTGTAACTCGATGTCTAGAGTAATTTGTTTTCAGAAAAAATCATACCTGTTTTCCATGATATTACATTTCATGTTACCATTTTCTATCGACTGGTAATGGAATCAATAAAACCCATCATATTTTATAAAATACACCAATCAGATTCAGTTGACTTGTAACGAGTGTAATTTTCTTACTGAAACTCTAGATCAGAACTTACAACCACAAATAACAAAGTGTTATCCATGGATTACTGAATTATGATGTTCACCTCTTTAATTATAGGAGAAGTATCTACTATAATATAGATTAAACAAATCTATCAAAATATCCATACGGATTCACTATTCACTACCATCATATAAAACAGTGGTAAATATTTATATGATATTCGTAATCAGTCATTCATTATCCGAAACCCTCTTAATGTATTACTGTTTTTGAGAGTTCTGCATTCTGCCCTGAGCAGTCATTAAACAAGTAACATCTGACTAGCGAATGCTAAATGTAGCTTTGTTATTTACTCAGTGAGTAGATCGGCAAGGAGTACATTTTACACTGAGGTCATTATATCTTGATGACTGCATTTTTATGTATTTTATGTGTTCAGATGAATGTTATCCACAAACGTTTATTGAAAACGTAAGACAATAAGGTCACTTCTTTTAGTCTGGAAATTCATATCGGTATGTACACTCAGCCAGTAAACTTTAAAGTTTACAATAATTGTCATAACTAAACTTCATTATCATTATGTTTGATAGTTAAGGAATATCAATTTAATCCACAGATTTTCTTTAGATATAATCAGCAGAATTACACTTATTTGATAAACATTACACAGAATCACATATGTCACAGTAATTGTCTGTAAATATTTACGTTATGATTAAAAGAGCTGTCGCTTTTTTAAATCATATATCTTTTTGTTTAGGTACAATGAAATTTACGTTCAGTGAAGTGAACGTAACATTCACATTAGATCGAACATTAACACTCCAATGTAAACAGCGTACAACAGTACTAAAACTAACACCACCAACTAAAGAAGAGAAACGGGCGCACGGTGGAAATCGTCCATGTTCATTGTAAGTTAAATGAATTCGGTGGGCGTATATTATTCAAGAGTTTAACTCACATTAATTCTTTCTGACATTTTGTAGCCCTATAGTGGATGACTTCAGTGTTTACGACGATGATTCGTCTGTCGAAAAAATAAGTTTATGAAGCCGTTACAATAAAGAGTCACTAAAGACAAAAAATTCTCATTTCATAACATGGACTGATTTTAGGTAGACAACGTTTGAGAAACAGAAAGCACTGGACAGCTATTTCGTCCTAACATAAAACGCCTTATCAGCTATTGAGTTGAGAGCTCAACCTTTGAACCGCTGATTTATATTGCAGTACATTTGATCCAGACATCGATATTAAAGCTCTCTATGTGCGTGTCCAAACCAACTACTTAAGTAAAAAATACAGAAGACAAGTAAGAAGCTTCATTGACCGAATAGAGAACCTAATAGAGAAATATATGCACACCCTTTCATATCTAATTGATGTTACTCAGTGTGTTAAGCTACAAATCTAACGACCTTCACAACTTCCTACTATAATGTCCACCACTTATTTTTGTTGGATGTCTAACTGGATTGTGATTGGTACAGGTAGAACCCGAATTTTATGACAAGTAATGAGAGGAAAAAGACTCTTGATAAGCATTTATTCGACCATAGAAATATATCAAACTGATGTTTGGACACACCACTCATTATTATGATTTATTTACGTTTAGATTAACATTCAGGTTGTATGAATTGAATTTAGTAGTAAATAATAATTAATCAATAACTTACTAGTTGAATACTTATTTACAATAACATACAATCAAGCATTCATACTCAACAGATCTATCTAATTGATCAAGTCAAACAATAACTACTCAAGATGTTATTCAATGCCAAAGATGATCAGTTTTATATGTCAGTCGAAGTCTAATCAAGTCATTGCTCACTATATCACCTGCATTAACAGTTATCAATTAAATCTAAACATTCATAAATATGGATATTAAGATATGAAAAATAACTAATTAACGATTAGAAAACGACCAAAACTGATTAGCTACATAAGTTCTGTGTCAAGGTATTTTATAATGTAGGACATTGTTGACTAAATAAAATCTATCGCTGTCATTCCTACAGTAGTATTTTCATTTTAAATTCTTTTCAGTACATTGCACAATAGTTCCCGTTCCTAACGAAATAACTGCAGGAAGAAAGTCATGCAAGTTTATTCTCAAAACGCCGAACTCAATTCATAGTAGCATTTGTCTTAGAAGTAACGCTAGTGATATTATATATTTTCTGAATACATTCTATTTTTGGCCTAAATAGTCTTTTCTTTTGGTTTCTGTCTGACGGGCTCAAAATTAAAAGAGATATATCATGCATAATCAACTTCACATTGTCTATAAATGAAAACCTAGATTTTAAATACAATGGTCAGAAGTATAGACTTGTTGGGGTAGTATATGGTTAAGACAGTACATGGGGCTTGTGAATTCAAAACAGATTTCAACAGACGGATGAAATCAAAAACTGATGAATTGTAATTACCTTATTACTCTCTACAGTCTGGTATCTTTTGGAGTAAATTATTAATTTTATTTACCTCATAACGCCACAATATTGAACTCAGGAACAGAAAATAAGTTTTAAGCTAACTCTAACTGTTTTCAATTTTTCGGTTGTCTTCTCATTTGTGAATAAATTCTTCGCCATTTACTAGTGATTTTTGTAAGAACAATACAATCAATCTCGTCTTCTTTTTTCTAAACAGAGTTTAAAATTGTGCTTCCAGTCACATGTTGTGCTAAGTATGAAATATCGAATAAATTAATCATTTTAATTACTCTCAATTAATATCCATTGGGTAAAAAGAACTGAAGTAGTGTACAACCTAAACAACAAGCACAGCACTATAGGTGTGTTTGTCTTATACTATGCATTGTATGGTAATGCTGTTCAATTTATATGTTTGTATAGAATATGCTTTATATTGAATTTGAAACCATAAAATTTCACATACTGTAATCGTTATGTTCACTAAATCCATAACTGGAACCCACAATCCGACGACAAGTAATGAGAATACAAAGACTCTTGATAAGCATTTATTCGACCATAGAAATATATCAAACTGATATTTGAATACACCACACATTACTATATGATTAATGTACAATCAAATTAACATTCAGATTTGTGTGAATTGAACTTAGTATTAAATATCAATTAATTAACTATTTGAATACATATTTACAATATCATACTGATCAATTTTCACACTGACCTAATTTTCTCCCTTTCATTCTGTCGTATTTGAAGTATACATACGGGAATGTTATATAGATACCTAGCGAATGGGTTGAAAAGAGACAGCAAATCAACAGAGTTTATCGAATTTGATATTATTTTATTCTTGATTCGTAATATAATTTTCATTAAATAAAATATAGGAAAGCATGACATTAGTTGCTTTTATAGGTCATAAGTAAAATTCTGTGATACATTTTGCCAGTGGCTTTGCTTTCAATTGTTTGAGGATCGTATTTGCCTCAAATTTAGTTGGTTTATTTTCCATTTCACTGTAAAGTGTTTCCTTTATTCTGATTTCAACTGATTCAGGCCAAAAACATTTGAATTTAAAATGCAAAATATTATCCATCAGAGTTAGTTTTCTTTATGAGCTGGTTTTCAAAGTGATCTCAATGAATGACGAAACCTCCCATCAAACACATTAGCGTTTGTACAAGAAGGCAACCAGTAGATATGCACCACATGAATCATTCGATTTGTGTGAGGGCTGGGATACTGCCCGGGTGCCCAAACCGAAGCAGGTGGTTTACTTAGAGGGCCACAAACCGAAACTTTGACCTAAAGGTCTGATCTAAAGAGCAGTGCAACAATGTCAGGAGATGCAGTTCCATGATAGCCGGTGACTAATAACTGGTTCATACACATTTTGTCGCCTCAGGATTCTGGAGCCCGTGTGCACCATTGGTTTGTAATTAGAGTTTTACAACTTCCCTAGATGGATATTCTGTATCTACCAACCCGGTTAAGGCGCTGGAAATTCGCTTTCTGTCCTCTCACTTTCGTAAACGACACCCCCGCCACGACAATGCAGTTGGTAGGACTTCCCTGGTAGTGGTTGTATGAACCTGGTCATTTGAGAGCATTTCGAGAGGGAGAGCTGACTCTTCACACTCTCGGTCGTACCAGAACATTTAAGGGCTCCTATTAGATTCGATTGGTCCACACAAAACTAACCAACTATTATTCATCAATAAGGGTTGAGAAAGCTTTATAACTTTTGAATATATATATTTTTGGTAAGCTATTAACTATCAGTTTTAAATCAATGATTAAATGTTCATTTTATATTCAGAACAATTTTTTATATATCGTACGGTGTTTCATGTATTTAATTGACCACATCTAGTCAACTAGAAAACAACAAGTTTTGAATAATTATAATAATTCTAGATAATATGAAGTTAAAAATATAATTTCGGTGAAAGAAATTTTTAAGCATAAATTTCTTTTGCATCAAATTGCTACATTTTTTCAGTGTGTTTACAACGTAATCATCACCAGTCTGAAAACGAAATTTCGATCTAAAAAAAATGACACATCTGGTTAAAACAAAAGGATAAACGGGGATCATATTACTAGATTTCATAATCAAATGTGAATAAAAATTGAATCAGGACTCATTTGTCACTAGTGAAGAGTTACTTTTATGGTGTTTGGACATTTAACGGGTGTTTTTTTCCAATCCATACGTATACAAAGTAACAAATTGAATGATAAAACCATTGGATGTATTGGGTATATTCAATAAATTCCATACGACTAAACTATTTCAGTCCCTGCTATTCAAGACTACAATTGGTGAGAATATTTTGACAGACTTACTTCTCAAAAGGATTGCTTCCTCGTTATTTATAGTCATAAGTTTATTGTAGTTTATTTAGTATATGGTTAGTAATTGGGATATTGCGATCCCGTTTTTTCCTGTTTTGGATTGATCAGCTGGATGTATCTGAACTTCAGTAGTGATTTTCATATTGCGAATTCGAACCACTAGTTTTTACTTCAACCCTAACGTTTTATCTACTTAAATAATATTTAAAGAAAAGATAAGTTGAAAAAACATGTTAAGTTATTGAAATCGTGAATGTAAACATAGTGTCTCTTAAGTATTAATCATTTTAACTGAACATTTTCTGCCGAAAATGTTTTGGGTAAAACTAACGTTTAACATTAGATTTCATAAAAGTTGTGATTTATATAAAATATTTTTTTCGGTAACTAGAAGTAAGCAAATATATCCTTGCAAGTGTCAGTACCTTGCGGCAAATAATACTTGCAAAGTGATGTTGATTTACAGACTACTGTTTTTTGGTAATTGGTTTGGAATAAACTAATGTGTTGTGTAGTTAGTAATAATCGACAAGGTTTTCTAGAATAGGGTCTCACGCTTATTGGCACTAGTCAACAAGGTGTATCCGTAATCTTGAGGTAACCGATGTTCCAGGTAGGATTCGAACTGCCATCATCCGGCTTCATGGTCTAAGAAGTTACCAATGAGGTATTTGTGCCTCTACTAACCTTCAGCAGAAGTGACTGATCAATAATTAGTGACCAATATCATATTCATTTGATCTTTTAGTACTGATTGACTGCTGTTAATTAAGTTGCACTGTGAACGTTAGTCTAGGTGACTTGAGAAGTGGTGCAAACTCTGAGTGAAGGATTTTCCACTGGCTGCGACCGATTGCTTAACATTCCAATCTATTGTACGAGATGCCGAGTCACTTCGACTAACGTCTACACTGTAAAGTAACCAATCAAGTTTGATCAAAATCAAAGATCTGGAGAACCATGACATTGGTCCCCTCCCAGTGACTATCCAATTGTAAACTAATATGATTTTTATTTACGCTTTTTACTTTTATTTAGAGATTAGTTATAATTGACTAACTAAATTTCCGTTTTTTAGTTTTGTTTTCTCTGATCCATATCCTTCAATCTTAGTGCTTTATTATCACTACAGATAATATTATAAGCGGTTACTTTAAATTTTAAACTTTTATTGTTGTACTATTGCTTAAATGTTGCTTTTTTTGCTGATTATCAAATGACGTCACATAACAATTACATTTTTAGTAATCAGTTCAATTATTATTAAATCAAAACAAATATAACTTTTTGGATTTAATTTAGAATTTATTTGCTAAATACTATGGTTACATCCATTTTGTAAAAGAACTTCTTTGATGACCGATAAACAAACTAATTATGTCAGTTTTATTATTGTTAAATACTTCAATTTTCTTTCGATTTAAACAAACACAATATCTACTCAATTGATGGAAAAAAAATTACAATCACTTAATCTGATATAAATACTGTAGCTTACGAGTTTTACAGTTCAAAATTCTCTATCCCTAGTTTTCTTTAGTAAATCAATATGTTAAATGCTTAATGTTATAAGAACTAAATAATCAGAGTTCATAAGGTAAAATTCTTTTCACTGCCATTTCAATGTTGAAGTAATATAATATATCTGAATGAATTTTATCAAAGTTTTTTTTGGATAATCCATCATTATGTAGTACATGTTTGTAAATTACTTAAGATGTTGCAGATCAGTATACCGAAACATGTATCTACATGATAGAATGTAGTTAGAACATACACCAACATAGTTTAATAAGATAAATAAGAAAACAATCGATATTCTTTAATTATTCATAAAATTTTAAGTCGGCAGATATAAACGCTATTTCTTGATGGCTTCCTTTAATGTATAAATTAGCATGGTATTTACTATTAGGATGACTAAAAAAACAAAACAAATCAACCTATTAGAATTAAAATTTAGGTTAAAAAAATAACAATCAATTATTTATCCTACAATAACGGTTAGACTAAGGACTGAAATCACATAGAAACAAATATTTTATGTCATCTGAGAGAATTGTAATAAGTGGTTATTAAAATGGGTAATACGAAAATTAGGTGATAAGATTATTAAACAGGCTATGTAACAGTATAATTGGAAATTCTAATGTCAATAAAATTGAAATCTGGAAAATTTGAAGGAAAAAGGAAAAACCATTCCAAAGATGTCAGAAAATTTTAATATTTAATTTTTATTTTCATTAGGATATTAAAAATATATTACTTTTATTAAAAGACGTAATAATATCTATGTATAAGAACATGGTAAAATGAAAGGTTGTATAAAAGTTTTCCGCAGAGAGAGGTTGGGCTGTTGTTATCGAAGAAGGTTTTCCGTCTAACTTACTACATAAAGAGAT